GGTCTATGTAATTGTGCGTTGCAAATTTTACGAGTACTAGTGTTATGATTGTTCTATGTAATTGTGCGTTCAAATTTTACGAGTACTAGTGTTATGATTGTTCTATGTAATTGTGCAATGCGAATTTTACTAGTACTAGTGTTATGTTTGTTCTATGTAATTGTGCGTTGCAACTATTACGAGTACTAGTGTTATGATTGTTCTATGTAATTGTGCGTTTCAAATTTTAAGAGTACTAGTGTTATGATTGTTCTATGTAATTGTGCGTTTCAGACATAGAACAATCATAACACTAGTACTCGTAAAATAATTGTGCGTTGAAAATTCTAAGAGTACTAGTGTTATGATTTGCTCAGCCGAGATTTTTCTGAAGCCCAAAAATAACAGAAGATATAGAATGGTTTACTGTAAATTATAGATATACATTGTTAGACAGTATATACGTAAAAGAATGTCTGTTCATGTGACGATAATTTAGAAAAGACGATAGTGCATGTGAATTTTTGCGTTATAAAATTTATAAAAGAGATGTTACAATATTAACACAAATGTCGAATCACTGTGTGAGTAAATGACATCTAAAAACACAATACATATAGTATATACTATATGAAACTCAGTCTAACTCTTTCGATTTGTCCAAGGTTATTGATGAAGTGTGGAATTCCCTGAAACCGATATGACAAGTGAGATGTCGAAGGATAAATTGGGCTTCGCATTTATGTTTAATATTAATATTTGTATTCCTTATTACTTCTCATAACTTTACGAGCCTTCATCAGTGTTAGATAAATTCAACTGATAACCCAATTCATGATAATAGTAGAGTAAAAATACAAAACCCTATAACCGGAGCACTTTCTACGTTAGGGAAAACTGTAAAACTTAGGGTGTCAGTAATAAAACGTTGTTATGAAAAACAATAAACTGTATTTGTATCCTGATGCCAAAAGTAAAAATATTTTTAAGTTGGTTTTTAAGCTACGTTGAGTTTTAATACCACGTCTATAACACAATGGTCTTATCAACAGTATCGATAAGTCAGCTTTAATTGTACCAAAATGGCAGTAACGCTACGTTTTTATAAGCACTGTAGAAATTCAATTAACTGAAGTTATGAAATGAAAATTAAAGCTTTATTTGCGCATAAAAGAAATAATTATCTTTAAAACTTACTTTTATTTCATTAAAAAACACTACTTTTCGCTGGGTTTATCTAGCCTCGTTAGGTGGATATATTTGAATAACGGAACAAAACCGTTACGTGTTGCATTATCTCTGATACTTAGTCGCTAAGCAACAACATAAGAACAAATCAAACGCAATTATTACACAAGATAAATGTAATTTTACTCCTGAATACTGGTTAATGCTAAGATTTTGGTTTTTGCGTTTATATATATAATATTCATTGTCAATGGTTTTAACATCCGCAAAATCAAAAGCGCGATTATTAAGAGTCATGTGATAAAACACAAAGAAAGGAGTTTTAAATGTTTATTTAATAGTGTAGACACTTATCACCAGGTTTCTTCAATGTCTTTCCACGTAACTTGATACAGAGATCCCGTATTTCCTTCTCAACATACTTGTGCAATACAAGTTGACCAAGTTTTCGTACTGGTGGGAAGAAAATGTTAACAACTAAATCCTATCTTGCATTTTTCAATTGTTTTTAACTAGGTTTTCTGCATGACTTGTGAAAGCCTAGAGGTGTATATGACATAACAGAATGAAAATGGTTCTTTTGAGTCATTGGTTGTATCTTGAGGCTGGGATTCATTTTCTAGGGAAGTTTTATTTATAACTGTGAAAGGTTTGTTTGTTTATTTGAAGTTAAGTACAAAGCTACACAATGGGCTATCTATACTCTGCCCAGCACGGGTATCTAAACCCGGATTCTAGCGTTGTAAGTCCGCCGACATACCGCTTTGCCACTGGGGGCAAATTCCAATGAATATAAACTCCTGAATATATTATAATAAATATTATAGATTATAATTGTTTTAATTTTCTTCTATTTAAACAATTGTGTTTGGCTTGCTTTTATTTTGTTGCTTGATGAGGTAGTATCACTGTTGATATTGCAACACATAACAGTTTGTTTGTTTGTAATTAAGCACAAAACTACACAATGGGCTATCTGTGCTCTGCCCACCACGGGTATCGAAACCCGGATTCTAGCGTTGTAAGTCCGCAGACATACCACTGTGCCACTGGGAGTCTAACAGTTTGTACCGCTATTCAAATGTGTCCACCTGACGGTGCTAGATAAGCCTAGATAAACATGATGTTTTTTATCAAATAAAATGAAAGGGAACTTTTCTTTAAATATAATTACCTGATTTACCCGTAAATAAAGCTTTAACTGCACTATAAAAATTTAGATTTGTTAGAACAATGTTGCAAGTAACAAGATTAATTTATAAACATTGTAGGTACTCGGTTCTGTTAGTATATTGTTGTCAATAACATGTTGACTTATCAACAGTGTAGAAATTCAGTTCTTTTAGTTAATCTTGTCAATAGCATAATGAGCTTATCAACAGTGTAGAAATTCAGTTCTGTTAGTATAATGTTGTCAGTAGCATGTTACCTTTATCAACAGTGTAGAAATTCAGTTGTGTTTGCATGACAGTGATAATTACACAATATCATCTTAATGATGTAAATGTTATGCTGTGTTTGTTCAATATTGTGGAAACACAACGCTCTTAGAAAGAGTATATAAATTCGGTTGGTATTAGTTAAACAATATCACCTCGGTGATGTAGCTGTGTTTTTACCAAGATTTTGACCACACAATACCATTAGCATTAGTTTGGAGTTGATAAATTTATTTAAAAAAATCAGATATTCGTTATTGTTTGTACACAATAATCTTATCAAAAGTGTAAGTATTCAAAAATCTCACAATATTTGATTTTGAAGACAGAAGACATAGACGGTCTGGTCACTTTATTAGAAATTATCCATAAAAACAGCTTAGGGCACTTTTTGCCAGAATAACAGCCAGGGTATGACATGGCATAGAATTCTCAAAATGCTGGAAAGTGTCCTAAGGATTATCCCAATCCAGTTATTAATATTGTACACAATTCATAGAGCGAGGTCGATGCTTCACATCTGCACTGATGAGGACAACTACTTCCAAGACGACAATCCACACTACCCAAGTTGTGAGTGCATGGTTTGAAGAACATGATGAAGTCTTCAACTATCTCCCATGGCCATCATAATCCGTGGATCTCAATCCAGTCGAGCATCTGTGGAAAAGAATTTGAAAGACACATTCGCAACACTATCCTTTTACGCTGGATGTACTTTATTAGAAATTATATCGAGGTGAGATGTGGCATTCATTATGTCTTCTAAAGGAAACAAGGGGCTCAGGATACGCCATAAAAATATGCTCAAGATCATGACTCTGCCATAAAAGATTCGAACAGTATGGACTACAGAAGAGGGGGAGTTATTTTTATAGCTTTTCCCACACCTGTCTTCCCCCACCTGTGTAAAATAGGGTAAAGCATGATTCATTAGATCACATCACCTTTCACTAGTTCTTATTAGTCTAATGTCTATACTCTTTACACCTCAGCAGTCCTTATTAGTCCAATGTCTATGCTCTTTACATTTCAACAGTCCTTATTAGTCCAATGTCTATGCTCTTTACACCTCACCAGTCCATTTTAGTCCAATGTTTATGCTTTTTACACCTCACCAATCCTTATTAGTCCAACGTCTATGCTCTTTACACCTCACCAGTCTATATTAGTCTAATGTTTATGCTTTTTACACCTCACCAGTCCTTATTAGCCCAATGTCTATGTTCTTTACACCATCCAAGGTGTTTTTTTCTTGTTGGTTTATACAATGAACTCCTAGTACTATAGTCTATTTGTTGGAAACGTTCCTCGAAAGTTACAGCTGGGTATAGGTGTAGACTGCCCTGCACTCAATGTCTGTCAGTTGGTATATTCTTTGTGGCGGTTGAACTTTAACATCCTATTTAACCGGTTTTCCCCCTCTGTCGGCTACAATTCCCCACCGCAGCAAACATTTGATTCAACTATTTCCATTGTTGATAAATTCGAATAACCTATGAATCTGTTTTATGCACTATGGCACTGTTAGATGTGCATCCATTATCTAGCTTCTTTTGAATTTAACTCTGCAGTATCTTTGCCTTTCCACACATTTGTTAGACTGACTGTAAATGAGCAGGGATCATCGACACATCATGTGATTAGCCTAATTTGTAGCTCAGGTCAGACCCAAGTCTGAAAGAATACATAGGTCCTAATAAAGTGGCCAGACCCTCTACCTAAGGTATATAAATTATCCAAGATGACGTTTGAAATACGTTATTCGCTGAGCAGACAATCTAACATGGATTATGTACCACAGCTGACTATAATAGTCCAGATTGCATAAATCAAGCATTTCTTTCCATGTTCTGACACAATAGCTTTCTCGACATTCCGGTAAAACGGATTGGTCCCCGCAGTGTTATAACGAAGTAGGATATGAGCATCTATTAATAAAGTTGTCTTTACCTTGACATACTCTTACGTTTCAGTTCAAACTCTGCTTGTTTATAGAAGAACTTGTAATGTCTGTTTTGTTATTCAACTAGCGAATACTTAGAAACCATAATCCGGAACTATGGCTTAAACAATCGAGAATTTCAAATATTGCTCACCTTTTTTTAATTGAGACCCGTTTTTCAAATTCTACGACAATCTTTCTTGCTAAAAGCCACCAGCTCTTTAGAATCTAGCCAATGAATTAGGTTGTTTTTACATAAGAATTCACTCCACGCAAGCCTGAAAACTTATAATCTTGATTGTTATTTGTCTGGGATTTACTTAATCTTGCTTTTCATTGGTCAACAAAATATATCACAAAGATCTCAGAATATATTTCTGAGTCCAGTGGTTAGTGTTGACGTAAGAGACGATAAGAACAACTGGTTTCCTGTTACTAGGATATTTTTTCAAAATCAGCGCTTAACATAATGTCAGAATGAAATTTGCAACAGAAGATTTGTCGTTATTGGGTTTGTTTAAATCATATACAAACTTAATATAATTTCAAAATATAACTACTACCAAAAAATTTGTCTCATATTCCTCTGCTATTATTATTACATAAAAGATGATAAATGTATAGGAAAAATCTGTCGAGTATTTTCTTGAATACGATAAAAGCTTGTTTTTCTCACATAAATAATACATACATATTCACAGAACTTTATCTAGTTTTATCACATAATATAGTTTATTTATAGATCACAAGTCACATGTGAAACCAATATCCAGTATTTTCGTACTTCAAATCCTGAAAACGAACAATAAGAAAATTTCACACGTGCAAACTTATAATTTAAAACATAAAAATATTATATAAAAAAGAAATAGCTGTATACAGTAGACAGATTATGTATAAGACATAGTTTAATAGATCGTTAGTAAAGTTTAGTGTTGTCTATTTAATTAGTTTTCCGTTTATATGATCAATAACAGTTTCTGGTAACCATGCTGTTCTAGCATTTGAAAGTTATCATGGGGAAGTACCAGCCTATAAAAATGTACCATTGTATTTAATACAACAATGCTCTTACTTAGTTCTAGAATGTAATACGAAAATGCTCTTACTTATTTCTAGAATGTAATACAATAATGTTCTTCCTCATTTCTAGAATGTGATACAACAATGCTCTTCCTTATTTATAGAATGTAATACAACAATACTCTTCCTTATTTCTAGAATGTAATACAATAATGTTCTTCCTTATTTCTAAAATGTGATACAACAATGCTCTTCCTTATTTATAGAATGTAATACAACAATACTTTTCCTTATTTCTAGAATGTAATACAATAATGTTCTTCCTTATTTCTAAAATGTGATACAACAATGCTCTTCCTTACTTCTAGAATGTGATACAACAATGCTCTTCCTTATTTCTAGAACGTAATACAACAGTGTATCTTCCTTATTTTACATTCTTTATAAACGTACCTTCCTTCTTCTATACCTTAAGGGTGAATCTTTCTAATCCTATATACAGACTTGTATTTCCTATATACTATAAATATGTGCTTTTTTCTTCTTGTACCTTTTTTCTGTACAATACAAAAATGAAAAATTTCTTCTTCTGCAGACAAGAAGAATGAAACTGACTTTCTCAACACACACATTAGGAAGGACTGCACACAAGAAGTATGAAACTGTCTTTCTCAACACACACATTAGGAAGGACTGCACACAAGAAGTATGAAACTGTCTTTCTCAAGAAGTATGAAACTGTCTTTCTCAACACACACATTAGGAAGGACTGCACACAATCAGTATGAAACTGTCTTTCTCAATACACACATTAGGAAGGACTGCACACAAGAAGTATGAAACTGTCTTTCTCAATACACACATTAGGAAGGACTGCACACAATCAGTATGAAACTGTCTTTCTCAATACACACATTAAGAAGGACTGCACACAAGAAGTATGTAACTGTCTTTCTCAACACAAACTAGAAAAGTACCTTATGATACTTAGTATATAGTAATGTAATCTTTGTCTCCTAAAGATCTAAAGAATGCATTTATCGTTTTATATAAAATACAAAAACGTTCCTTTCTTTTTTCTTAAAAGCAAAAGAAAGTTTAGCTTTCTACAGATGATAAGAAAATAACTGTGTAGTCTTCATGTATACTAATATCTAACAGGTAAGCTAAACATTTCAACTGATAGTGAGAGGTTCGGAAGGAAATGTTTTGCTGAGGTTGTATTTAGCTCAGGATTGTGTGGTTGGAGAGATTAGCACAGTTGTTTGAAAACAACAAACAATGATTTTTATTTTAGAAATACAAAGAGTATTATGTATTCTAGACAAATCTTATTGTAATCAAAATATTCTGACAAACTTCTAAGCTGATTTATTATTGGAGTTTCGGAAAAATGCCTTTTTCAAACAGAGACTGACAGGAGTGCGTTATATCACGCTTTAAGTTAGGTGAAACCTCGTATTAGTGTGGTATCCCACAACTCTACGTTACCTATGTCAGAGGGCATACCCTACATTAAGTTATCACAGTGGTATGTAACCTGCTTATTAAGGCAATGATTATCGTGAGGTAGAACTGATTGCATCTTGTTCACAAGGGCGCTAACTAAATGCAAAAGCATCTCCATGCAGCCTTTGAAAAACATTTGTCATACATGACTGTTTCATTTAAATTTCATACCACAATTATGATTCAGATAGTTATAAAGCACTAGTGGTAAATTTAGTATTTTTAGAAGCGATAATTTATGGCGGGTTTGCTTACGTAGCTGTTTACAAATCATTTGTTTTGCAGTTCAATTGTTGTGAATTGACGTCACGTACTCTCGCTAAGTATTTTCTCATTGATTTAAATAGTTTTGTTGCATTATAACGACTCGTAGTTTGTACAAAGTAAAGTTAGACTGGGTGATCGTGAGTTTAGTCATAAAATGTGTATAGTGGTGAATTTTTAAAGTCTAATCATCGCAGATTGTATTGTAATAGCAGAGTAGAGAATAATAATTAGTCAAAGGGTGTTCTAAAGTAATTGAATCCGTCTGTGTGGACTTTGATGGAAAAAATACAATTATTTAAAGCTCTGGATACAATTGTGGTAACTAATAGTGTAACGAAAAAGTTTTGTACATACTTTTGACTTGTTTTGAATCTATTATTTCAA